AGAATGTTTTATGAGTGTGTTAGTGAGATTTGGCATTGAGTCGAATAGTTGATAGTTGTAAGGGTGATTACTGGATGAATTGCTAACTTGGTATAGTTACTTTACACTACATATGAGTTTATATAGAAACATGATATGTGCATACATTTGTATAGTATTGAGTTCTAAATTTTATTTTGCAATTGCTTATAAAAAGCTTGTAGCTTAGAATTCTTATACTGTGATAACAATTTTTGATATGAATTTGTTATTCAGATATTTGCTAACATGATAATGTTTGTGGGTAACATCTCTAGAGACCCTCACATGACTATACTCGTCTACTAGCTTAACTGTTTAATGGCTTATTGTATATGGTAAATGAAATCATGACTCCTACGAAAGTGAATGTATCTTTATTTTTTTTTATTTTGTCTTACTAAGGACAGGCAAGAGTTAGGTTGGGAGGTATAATTAGCCATGAATATTGCATTATTATTATATTAATAATTGACTAATTACATTAAGTGAAGAGCTAATAGTATTAAACTGATTGAGTTTTGGATTTTATTTTTCTTTTGTAGTGCTTTTTTTTTTTCNTGCTATACTATTTGTTTGTGCAGAAAGATGAAAAATAGGTAACGATGTTCATCTTATGAGTTATTTACAAGTCGCATACTATGTTCTATTGACCTCAACTCATTAGCAACCAAAATGAATATTCATTGTTGAGATCAAAAACCACTTTTATTTCACCACACTAATTGTTGCAATCATTTTTTATGCCCTACAGTAAGGAAGGAGATACATTCAGACCAATTCTTCTTTCATTGGTTCTTGCTTTCTCATCTCGTTATTTTGTTTCTTTCGCTACTTTTTCTTTCCATTTCATAGGGCTTTTCTTGTAATTGCAAATTTTTCCATATAAGATGACGGATCAACATCAATATAAATGGGCATTGATATTTGTAATAGCATTCTCTTCACTCCTTAGGTCTACTACGTCCCTACTTCTTGAATCTTCATGTATCGAGGTATCACTGTCAGCCTCTATATCATTTTATCTATTACTTATGGATCACATAAATATGAAGACTAATTATTACTATACTTGCATGAATATGCATGCAAAAGTAATTGGAATATCAAGTTATGCTGGTATGGGACAAAACAGTTGATTCGGTTTGAAAAAAGCAAGCACCTTTCAAAATCCTACACTTCCAAATGCTAGTAAGAGTGGTAAAAGAATACTTTTGGTATATATGAGTAATTTTAGTTGTCTGGTAATTTTTTATCTATTTTACATTGTGATCCTTTTCATTGACTTTTTTTTAATGACTTCGGTCCATGTGGTAATTGGGTGTTTATTTTAAGCTTACGCAACATTAGTGAAAATGGAATATAGCCCAGCTTTAGACAAATCGTAGTGAAATGTTATATTGTTTGTCAACAGTGTTATATTTATTTTTTGGGTTCAAATAGGTAATCATTTAACTTGATTAAGTGATTGTTTTATTTTGTTTTCCTGTCTTCAATCTACTTGCTAATTGTGTGTTTATTTATGCTCTCACACACCAGGGGTGCATATGGAATATGGTTTTTCCATTAGACATGTGAAAGTTCTTGTATGAGTAGGAAGTTTGACTTCTTGTTAGCCTCTAGATTGATTCGTACTTCAAATAAATTTCCCTCAAAATGCACTACCTTTGATTTGTTTAAAAAATAATATACATAGAAGAGAATAACAATAGACTTATAATCTTGAAGTAACCAAAGTTAGGTCTAAAGTAGTTTTCTTTTCACTTGATTTAGTAGAGTTATAATTTATTAGGCATCATTTTTTTTTTGAGTTCCGTATTTCTTTTTTAGCTTAATAATATCATCTCTTTATTATGATGGTGTTTCCTCATGGTTATATGTATGTTCACTTAGGTATGTATTGGTTTCAACGACAATATTAATTACATGGAGTGGCAATCATACATCTTTGATGCCAGTGTTCTCCGGGAGTCATAGGTCAGGGTATAAAAAAATTTACTTGTTTTGATATGTGCTTCAATTTTTTTGCTCAAATATAATACAAGAAATCTAATGTCCAGAGTATTCATCCAATTTGAAGTCATTGCCACTAAAATACCTCCTATTGCTCAAACAAAATGATTTTGACCTTTGTAGCCCAATTAATATTTGGTTAGTCGGATGGGTAGTTTAATTTGTCTATGAACTCAAGTTTCTTGGTTGGACTCAATTGTTCACCTTCTAGATTTAATAGGCTTTGTTGCATTTTATTTTTTTTGGGTGTTCTCATCACTTTGGTCGTTATTTTCTTACTCTTTTGTTTCTTCTTTTTCTTTTCCTCTCAGTTCCACCTACTGAAGGAGTAAATGAATTTAGTATCATTAACCAAATTATCTATTAAATTGTTCATTGTTTCTTGATAGATAATTTTATTTGTTGCCACAATCGAATATCTATGATGCTTATATCTCACAGGTATGAAATGGCTCAACCAAGATTTATCACAGCATAGCCAATANTTCCAAATGCTAGTAAGAGTGGTAAAAGAATACTTTTGGTATATATGAGTAATTTTAGTTGTCTGGTAATTTTTTATCTATTTTACATTGTGATCCTTTTCATTGACTTTTTTTTAATGACTTCGGTCCATGTGGTAATTGGGTGTTTATTTTAAGCTTACGCAACATTAGTGAAAATGGAATATAGCCCAGCTTTAGACAAATCTTAGTGAAATGTTATATTGTTTGTCAACAGTGTTATATTTATTTTTTGGGTTCAAATAGGTAATCATTTAACTTGATTAAGTGATTGTTTTATTTTGTTTTCCTGTCTTCAATCTACTTGCTAATTGTGTGTTTATTTATGCTCTCACACACCANTAGTAAAAGGTGAGTTTTTGTATTAAGACAATGATTAAAGTGTCCACAACCTTCTTAGTATTCAATAATCTATTTTCAAAATGGTTTACGTGTGCAATTACTAGTTTATGAAGAAACTATTTGTTGAAAAACTTGATTCATCATAGACTCCAAGCATAGTAAATGCTTGTTTTGAGCAATTAGATACTTTATTTGATTTATCTTGGATAATTTATCAATTATACTTTTAGATGTTTTCAATATTATTACCACTAAATATTCCGATTTAAATTACTCATCAACTGATTTTCAATTGAATTCAAAATTTTGATCATTAATAATTACTGTGTGAAATTACAAGGGTATTCCCCAATGCTTTAGTATTCTCAATTCCTATTTTGAACCAAGATTTACTGTTTTCTGTTTTCACATCTATTAAACAACTTTCAAAGAAATTTTACTTTATTTTTNTCGAAGAGACATGTTCTTACAATTTGCTATACTATTTGTTTGTGCAGAAAGATGAAAAATAGGTAACGATGTTCATCTTATGAGTTATTTACAAGTCGCATACTATGTTCTATTGACCTCAACTCANCCAATTCCTATTTTGAACCAAGATTTACTGTTTTCTGTTTTCACATCTATTAAACAACTTTCAAATAAATTTTACTTTATTTTTCTTTGTGTTCTAAGTTCACACAATTTCCTGAGGTACACCGTTGGACTTCCAAGAAAATTTATAATTTAACACAAACTACACTTAGGTTACAGTCTTTTTGGGTTGTAGCACATTTACCTTAATGCATTGGAGACCTAACTCTCTAATGAGTGGCCTGGTTACAAAAAATGAATTGGGCAGCGTGTTACCTTCAAGTAATATTTCCTTTAGTACTTAAAGAAACATTGTGAATGACTTGTCTCTCCATCCATTAAGACAGTTGATGTGCATCAATTGAACGATAAATGACAGTATCAAAAACTTTTTGCATCTCAAATATAACTTTCTTTCAACTTTTTTCAACAGTTTGAAAAAATTTTCTGTCTCCTAATTTTGCCCTTCTGTACTATTCCTTTCAGGCTCGTGATCACTCGCTCTTTAAACTGGGCTTGGAGGATGAATCGCAAATGAATCTTGTAACATTTCTTGAATTTTATCCCCCGAACTAGAATCACTTGATTAACATAAATTGAGGCAAATGAACTTTCCTCATGAAAAATTCAAGGAGTGTAACTCTCAAAAAATTCATTTATGATCGAATGTTTTTCCAAAGGCTCCATTTTTACCAATCTAACATTACGATATTTTTTGCATGAGCATGTGAGTTTCATGGTATTTGGTTTATTTTCACATGTAAACTTGAGAATGTTTTTAACTCCTTGCATGTACAATGAGTCTAGCCTATGTAGATGGATCCAACTCTTATCCATAGCCATATTCCGCAATTCCAAAAGAAAAATTACTCAACTTCATTACAAAGCATGTGGAAAATATACGACAATATTAATGGAAGCCCCAAGACAATAAATGACAACATAGAAAAAAATACTCAGAACTAGAATTCAACAATTCAATTTCCATGCTTTATAGTTTTATTTGTTCTGAATTCATGGACAGGTCAAATAGCTTTTTTTTTTGTCCTTACTCCTTACTTTTCCAACTGTGGTGAGAAGTTATATAATGTTTCAGTGGTAGATCATTAGTCATGACTTCAAGTGAGGCCCCACTATACATATGTCCCGTACCAATACATGATAGGCCCCAACAATATATGGTGATCTATCATTGCAAGAAACAGAGAGCTTATTAGAGTGGATCTAGATCCTGTAATTGATTTATATTGATTGAAAAGTAAGAATAGCAAATTTGTAGGCATTAATTCATTTGAAAAAAGTAATTACATTTATGGATTTCAACCATGAGGAAATTTTCCAAGTTCTAACTTATTCATATTTCTTCAACCATACATCCACGACCCTGAAGCTCGGTTAGCTCAAATGTGATTTTCGTTGATCCACCATGACAAAAACATTGGCCGAGACTGCAACATTCGACTCAATCAAAAACCCAGTTCATTGATACATTCCTCAAAGAATATATAGGAAATGAATCGTTGTTTGTGCTTAATGTGTATACTACATGCTTTACAAGGTCTGAAAATAGAAGAATTGAATTGAGGTCAATTGTCCATGAGCTCCATTCCCCTGCATAGTTCTTCTTGCCACCGTGGCCTTAACTTCCATACCCCTCGCATTATTTCTATCAATAACAACTTGATCAACCTCTTTAAAAGCCCTATTTGTTTGATCCAACTGAACAATTTCAACCCCTTTATTTGATCCAGAAAACATGTTATCAACAATATTCACCCCATTCACGACACCATTTATTGATTTGAAGAGAATAAATGCATCAGCGAGAAAAAAACTACTTGAAATGTGAAGTTGCAGAGCGTCTTCAGCACTAAGTCTAATATAATCCAAGTAGGAATTCACAATCCTGGTTTGTGATAATCCTGGCAATTTTAGGTATATCCTAGTACCACCAAAATCGGTGGCCTTATTGTAACATTGTACCCCGGAAAAAGTGTTAGCTGGACCCAACACCATTATTCCAATTGCAATAGAAAAAAAAAACTATATCGGTGATAGCGTTGTCATTCCCCACAAGGTTTATTGCAGTTCCAGAGAAGTTCCTTTTGCCAAGATCACCACCGGCAGTGATTTTTTGGCCTAAGAACGAGTTCCGAATGTAGGTGACCACATTGGCCTAAGATACTATTTGTGGTGAAATGAGCAATGTAACAGTTATCAATGCTAATTCTAAGTGAGTTTATAACTTGGATGCCTCCGCCCTTGTAATTAGAGTCCAGAGTTAGGCCTCTAAAGGTTACATACCCATAGTTATATTTGTCTAAGCCATTCGTAGCTGATAAATCAAGCAAATATCCTTCAGTAGGGAAATTGTTCAAAGCTTTTAAGGTTCCTCCATGTATTTGTTTGATAAAAAAATATGTCGAAACAACTTTCGGTGAAACATGAACTCAAGCTTAATTAAACCTTTTAAAAAAAATCATATTAAAATGATTTAGATTAAAAAAAAAAATGATAACTTAGAGTACTAGACTCCTGCTACTGCAAGAATTAGATGTACGCAGCCTTTCCTTGGAAAAAAACATTGGGTGTAACGTTAACACCACGTCATCATTGACATGTGGTATTACCATCTAATAATAAACCCTCAAATAAATAGGTGGATCCCTCATATTATAGTAACCACCCTAGCCTGTCATTTAATAATCCCCCAAGTGGGGTTCACGGTTCACTTTACCCATTTATAGGTATATTATTGGATGGTGACATCACGTGTCAATAATGACATGGTGTCAAAGTTACACCCAATGTTTACTCCTTCCATTGAATGCGGAGGGATTGTACTTGTGACTTGAATCCATGATGCTCAACTCGCTTAAGAGTAAGATAATTTGTGATTGTACTTGTGACTCGGATCCATGATGCTCAAATCACTTAGTGTTAGATAATTTCTGGTAAAAAGGGAGGATTCTAAAGATCTAACAAGGATCACATTGCCTTGGTTCTCATATGTGTTATATGGGTCATTACTGAACAAAAACATGCATATAAAGTCTTTATAATCATGGAAGAATGAAATGGACTAGCCACATTGTCACATAAGAACCTGCCATTTGGTGAAGTAGTTAACCTCAAAACTATAGATGGGTTTGTGGTGGACTTGATCAGAAACTACACCATTAATCAAATGATGATAGTCTAATTAGGTTTCACTGTCCTTTCATCACAAGATGCCATTCTTGACCTAAGAAAAAACTAATATAATCCAACTATATATGATGTGATTAAGACCAGGGAAATCAATGAAAAATCACTACGAATTCATCCCGCCACCTGGGTCATTCCAAGAAGTTCTGAAAGAATTGGAAGCATACCATGAGGTTACCTCAGCTGGCCAATGGAAACCGAAGGGGACGACTGACTATGTAAGTTCCACCTTCAAGATTAACCTATGCACCACCAAGATAAACAATCCCTTCCATCAAGAAGCCATTGGTAAGACCATTAAGTGCATCTAATATTGCTTCAAGAAGTGCGTTTGTACTGTCTGTTTGCCCACTTGGGTCTGCTCCGTAGGATGTCACGTGATACACAAGTGGACTTGGTGTAACCTACATCATATACATGTATAGTCATAATATCTAGGGCCATCACCATCATGAGTAGTTATTGATTATTTACAATTTCAATATTGACATAGATTAACAAAGAAGCAATAAAGGGCGGGTCTTTTGGAAAAATCATGAAAACAGTTACTCCGAATGTAACCACTTACATATCTTAGTCTCCAAAAATTCTGCAATAACAAGAGACTTGTGAAAGTTGTTAGAGGCAAAAAATTGAGAATACCTCCCACGGGAATTGAAAATTTGATATGTTTATGAACTCGATCTCCCAGTCTACCCTTACCTACAAAACAAACAAACTATCTAAGATCAAAGTGCATCGACCGAAGGCACTCCGATGCTTAAGTCAACAAAGATACTGAAACGAATGGAAGAAAACCAAGAGGATTCAATGTACCTTTCACCTTGGCTCCTTTTGATTTTTATAAACCCTATTCAGTTAGGGTTTTCATGAATTTCGATTCAAGGTGGCACACCTTCCCCTAATCCGGTGACTCTGTTTAAGAAGTTGCTAAGATCTCTCCGCAATTCCTTCTACTGAGCCTATTCGTTTATCCAGAATGCCTGAATTGTAGGCATCTTTTTAGCACCACGTTACTGTTTTAAACAACTCGGTCATGACGAGGACCGAGCTCCTTCCTTCCTTTCCGAGCTTTCTGATTTGCTCAGTTGCTATTTGATGACAACTTAGTCGGATCTCATCATCTGCTCGGCCGAGACAACCTAGTTGTCTATTCGGTCGAGTTTTATTATCTACTAGGTCGGACCAATTTTAGCTCGGTCGGAATAGCCTAGCTACTTGCTCTGCTCGGCTCTGATAGCCTAGCTACATGTTCTGCTTGGCCCAAATAGCCTTTAGCTCAGCCGAATAGCCTAGCTACTTGTTTGGTCGTAGTAGAGTTATTGCAAAATAATTATTTTTAGCATGTGCAACGTGCCACATGTCCAAGTCTAATTGTCAGATGATTAGAATTGATCAGATGATGGTCAGAATTGATCAACCCCTTCATTTGCCTCCACATAATATTTTTCATGTGGCACATTGGGAGATATTCTCTATTTACAATCCTTTATTTCATTAATTGTCTTGTATTGTTCCTCACAAAAAGGCCTTTTTTGTGCCCCCTTCCCCTAGCCAAGAGGACCTGCCTCGTTGAAGTGTTCGAGCATTAGTTCTTGGTCACTTTATTGTGACCCTTGCACCGATCCGCCGATCTAATTGGTCTTCAAACTTTACCCATTTGTCTTACACTATCGTGCCTAGCCATAGGCCTAAGTTTGATCGGATGGCTGCACCTGAGCTAGGTCCTTGCCTCTGTCAGGATTTTTTTCTCCCTGCCTTAGCAGTAGGTTGGCTTATGCCCGAGCCTTCTCGGGTCTTTGATGTGGTAGGTACTCCACAAAAATTAGCTTTATGGTTCAATCTTATTTACTCGCGGGAGGTACTCCGCCATTTAACATCTTTCCAGTGGTAGGTACTCCACAAAAAGAATAGCTCTGAAGCCCAATTTTATTCACTCGCGGGAGGTACTCCGCTGAAGGCACAACTCAATCATGTCTGTATATGGGAGGCACTCCCTTAAAGTGATATAGCATCAGTAATCCCAGCTCTAGAGCTTAGGCATTTTCTTTTATAAGAAGACGCTGATTTTTATTTCAGCTAGTATCATTTTGTTCGATCAGTCTCAGATCTACCTGCTTATGAGTAAGTCCTTTATTTCTCATTTGCAAGTAATAATAATTTCTCTCATAGAGTGAATGGTTAGACTCTAGACCTCTCAGGTCAACATTTACTGCACATAGTGGCACACTATGTTGGAGACGATCATTTTTCTTTGCCACTTAATAGACATTCATTCAAGTCGATGGAACAGTTGTCGTTACTAGTCTCTTGTAGAAATAGAGTTTCCTGTCATTTAATGGTCTCACTTCGTATACCAAAGACAACCATGGAAATGTACTTTGAGTTGTCATACCAACCAAATTATCCACTGTGCTTGGGCTGAAATTATACATCTTTTCATGATAAGCCGACTTGCTAAGATTTTACGAAAACTGAATTCATTAGGTGCCCATGACAACAAATTTTCCCTGGTGAAGCAGTAGTATTTATCACCAAATGGTCACAAGCTGTTCGATCTTGGGCAATTCAAGGTTCATCCAGTGAGATTCTTTTTGAGAGGGTCTTCATGCCTAACCTATGAATATGAATGTTGACGCTGGGTCAAGCTCCACCTTGTAACTGTATTGCGCTATGTCTTGGGTCGCACCCAAAGTCTCATGTCACCTCCATAAACAAGGAATACTCCCGAGCCCAAGTTCTGGAACTTGTCCCCGAGAGGTTTTATGCCTGCCTACATTAGGACTTTTGGTGCTTTAGCCGAGTAAATGCTTACCCGTTTTCAGGGCCCGAAGTCCACTAAGTGCCCACGTGCACTCCTTTTACTCCATCAAGAAGAAATGTGCTCCAAATACTTGCTCGGTCTGAGGTTCTTTCCCCCCCGTGTGCACGGTGGCTAACATGATTCATGATCTGGATATGTCATTTGGCATAGGCTCTTTTTTGCTTAGTGAGTGTGCCGAAGTTGCTAGCCTCATGTCTAGACCATTCCAAGGATTCCTAGGAGTAGATGGTCTTCCTCAATGGCGCCGAGATACGTTGAAATTCAGGCGATGGCGGGACCGAACGCCACTCCATGATCTGCTTGTATTTGCCGACCATCTTCAGGTTGCACTGATCGCAAGGAGGCAAAAACCAATTGAGCTCGGCCCTTTAAATAGTAAGTTCTGCAATACTGAAAAGTAACAATAGATGCATGCTTGTAATAGGATAACTTTGTTTCTTGTCAGCCACAACATAAAAGGTTGATCACTCGTACTTTCCCATATTTATAAAGAATTGCTTTCCTACAAGGCCCACCTACAAGTGTCATGACTTTGGCCATCTAAGTACTACGGTTTGCATGCATAAGTTTTGTGTGTACAGGTGTGGCAGTTGTAGCAAGAGGTGGCAGCCATACTGGCCTTTGCATATGGTGAGTATTGTCTTAACAAGTAATTATGTGGTCCCCACCAAGTAAAGGGGCCAAGGACTTGAAATATGACAATTTATTTGCTTAAAGAGGTTTTCGTTCAGCTTGGCCATGCACAGTCAAGAAGCATAAAGATAGGTCGAGCTATACACATGACCTTGAAAATGAAGGCCGGTCATTTTTTACCAATTCACTTTTTGCTCATGCTAATAGCGGCTGAGAGAGAGAGAAAGTCCAGCTGGCTTATTTCTAAAGCCAAAAGCAAAGAAAATAACAAATAACTTTGAGTGAATGACACCATGCTTTGTGATAGTGCCGAGGGCTTCAACCAAAGTATAAGCCATTGACATGTAAAGTTGTGTATGACGTGAATTTCTTATTCATTAGGCACATTTTTACGAACAAATAATAGACAGTAATCGTGCAACCAAAGGTGTCACTTATCTTCGCATTTGCCGAATTCCAAATGCGGAGATACAATGAGCAACTGGGCAAAGTGCTTCAAGAAACCTCAAGAATTTTTAATTCATCAATTGCGTAGATATGTCGTTCTTCTCATCTTAAATCAGTACAGAGTCTCTCAAGAAGTTCTTTCTTGGACCCAGTTGTTGAAATTCCTCTAATCTTGGCTTGTTCTCGTAATTCTTTGATACCCATGTGTCGAAACTTGTCAATGGTCTTAATCTTCTCTGACCCATTAGAATCCCCATTCTCAAAATCCCTTTGCCTTTTCTTATTACTCAAACCATCAATTGAATCAATCGATTGTTTTTGGTGGGACTCTAGGTGGCTCTACAGCCTCTGGGTTGACACGTCGAATAATAAAGTCGTTGAGATATCCAAAGAGTGCCGAAGAGGTAAGCCGAGGTATGATGACACAGAATGACCGAATACGACAGCTGGCATCGTATTTAATACGATATGACCCCCCATTTATGGTGGAATGAGTGATAGTGACAAAGCAAATAAATGTGCACCTGCCCTCTAGGAGTCTAAGCCTACTGTCATGATGGCTAAGCATTAATGGCTGATGCTCCGAGACGACACGATCGGCTCTCCCGATGAACTGTTCCCCCCAAGTATTCAATGCTCAGTGGATGTCGGATGCCGATCTAGGAGATTTGGGTACTCGGGGAGTGGCATAAATGCTCGGCATTTGGCCGAGCATTTATCCCATTTTTTTAGCATTCAATAGGAGGAGACGTGAGTAGAAAACACTCATTGCACGAGGAATGGTGTGTTAGATGTAAGATGTCCAGATGAGACTGGAAGTCTTTGGCAATCATTGTTAATTCAAATATAAATACTCCTCAAAAAAATGGACAAAGGTATGCAAACTTGAACCAGAAAAATAATTCATTGAGCAAAACTCTTCAACCTTATACTGACTTAAGCTTCAGAGGGAATTAGCCTGACCCCCTTTTTTCTGACCCTGTTGTTTCAGGTTTGCCAGCTTGGAGATCGCTGTCTCATACTATTGCAGGATTTATCCCGTGTAATTTGGCGCCTTCTGTGGGAACGAAGGCATTTTTCCCCATAGCGATCATCTGATGGTAAACACTCGATCTCAAGGTGAGAGAGCAGGTGTATGGGCCAGGAACGCAAAGCCCGTCCGACTTCTAATGGTTTTGGAGCTGAGTTCATTGGACCAATCAAATGGGGTGGGGCATTCTTTGCAAAGAAGCTCCCTATGGATCAGGACCTTGGGCGGCGTGACCTCATGGCCCATGACATCGTTGAGATGGTGGAAAAATGGATGGGCAAACGCATTAATCAGCTCGAAAGGGAAAACACCAAAGTCCAGCAATGTCTTGACGATTTCGAGTAGTCAGCGAGCACGGGTGAGCATAGTCGTGGGGTCGGGGACCAGATGCCTAGCCAAAACTTGTTCAGACCCCCCTGGCATTGGCCCTCCAGGAAAAATTGGATTAGGCACTCGCCCGAGGGACGTAATTGCCAAGGAAGGTTCTCGGCCTCCAAGGGGAAGTCAGAATTGGGCCAAAAGGCAAGCCTGTCCAGGTGGGACTTGTGCCGAGGGATACTTGAGGGCGTCGGAGCCGCCGAATTACAAGCGGAGTCCATACCCCGAAGGCCTCGAGGGGAGAGATCAAACAAGGATCCCAGGGTCCCCTTCATCACTCAGTGCAACCTTGAGCTCGAGATCTACTCCGACGAAGTTATCTCACCGTTCGTCCGGGCTATCAGGGAGGCTGAGATGCCGAAGAATTTTACCGTCCCACGGTTCAAAGTCTATGATGGGAAAATCGATCCCGAGAGCCACCTTCGGCAATACAGACAATTGATGTCAATCTACGATACTGACCAAAGGGTGTTGTGTCGAGTTTTTCGCATGAGCCTAGGGGACACGGGCATGAGGTGGTATGAGAACCTTGCTCCTGAGAGCGTTGGGTCCTGGAAACAATTGATGGAGCTCTTTATAGCTTGATTCATCACCAGTAATAAGAAACCGAAGGACATCGACGCTCTGTTGACGCTTAGGCGGAGAAAGGGAGAAACACTCTGACAATATGTCGTCTAGTATTGGGATGAAGTGAACGAGGTGGAGGCATGTTCGCAAGCATTGGTTGTGGCTTCATTTAGGCTGGGGCTGTCCTGAGACACTAATTTGTACAAATCACTGACTAAGAAGGCTCTAGCGGACATGAAAGACTTGATAGCTCGGATTAACAAATATGCCCGGGTGGAGGAAGAATCCATCGTGCCAGAAAGCTGGGTCACGGTGCTGAGAAAAAGGGAAAGAGAACAGCTAGCCTGAAGGGGAGGGCCTACATCCCCAATTCGCCTATCCTTTCAGGGAGTGAACACGGTCTTCAACGAGCCCATTCACAGGATACTTCCCAAAATCAAAAATAAACCTTACTTCAAGTGGCCCCCGAGTTAAACTCGGAAAAGGGTGCGAGGAATACTCGGAAAAGTGTTAAACTTACCACCAGGTTGTTTTGGATAGTGCTCATCAAAAATTGATTGTCCGAGTAACCTTTGTACACGGCCATATTGGCATCAAATTGAAGCATCCCCACGATGGTAAACGTCACTTCGGGGGATTGAAGGATAGAGTCGACTTCCAGAACAGGGCAGCCGCTCCTAGTCTCGGCCTAAGCAACCCACTCGCCCGAGACAGACAGGCCCGGGGTCGGGGCATCATGCCGCCACTTCACACGGTGCTCCTCAGATTATTAGGCGTCCTAGGCACGCCTGTCCCTCAACCAGTCTCCCAGAGCAGGGACTTGAGATTGGGGCCTTTGCCTGGTCGACACGGCGGGGTCCCCAGATTATTGTGTACGCAGCGGCGATGGCGGTTACCTCTGAGGAGAACTAGGCAGAGGGATGATTGGGGTAGTGTTGTAAGGCCCGGCCAACCGGACGAGCCTGACTCTCTTTACCGCGGCGGCGACCTCCATTATAGCAGTGGTGACTGGTGGCGGATTAAACATCTCGGGCGCAAGGGGCTTGGAAGCGTGATCAGACTCTTCTTCAAAATCTCCCTCGGATTCTTCCTCTTTCGACGAGGGATGGTCTTCCCAAACAGAAGGGTTGAAAGGAGGTAGGATCTGGGAGAATCGATTGTAAGTCAGCGTGTAGCCGAGGATAGTATGCGCTCGCTCAACTGGGTCCGAGGATCAAACCCTAACAGGTCGGCAAATCGGACTTGGGATCTCAACGGTTAAGCAACGTCCCAATGATATCCTTCTACAAAAGCAAAGCAAAATTAGTGCGTCCCTCAGACCCAAGAATAGCAAAATGAAGGAGTTAGAAAGAAAACACACCTTCATCCCTCGGTACTTTGGGGCAGTACAATCCGTCATATTCGGGCCCGGTCCCTTTCTCCCAACTTCCATCGAGCATGATCAGATCGTCTACATATCCCTTGTCCGAGTCAAGCATATGGGTTACCAGATACATTGAGGCGTCTCGAGCCTAGAGGTAATATCACCCCTCGACGACTAGCCTCATGTCATAGCAGAATAAAATTTCATCTACTCCGAAGTTGGTCCCCAGCCGAGCGTTTAAGGCGACTACGCCCATTACAATCCTAAAGAAGTTCACCCCACATTGAAGGGGAAAGAGTTTTAGTTGTATCAATACTCCCAATAACAGGGGATGGAGGGGGAAGGTCAATTCTCCCACCATGATGGCCTTCGTCCAAAAAGGCATCATGTCCACATTTCCCATATCCCTCCTATGGTGAGTGGGGTTGAAGGGGAAAGTAAATATAGGCTCACGGATGTGGTACCTAACCCTAAAGGATTGGATATTCTCATCAGTCACTTGGGTTCTCCTTATCTTGTGAGTAGTCCTAGCCCTAATAGACGTCTCCCCCGTGGTTCTATTAGTTCTAGCCATTGGTGGCGCTAAAAGGACGAAATGTAGAGCAAATGAAGGGAGAAAAACTTCAAGTGGAAATACTTACAGGAAGGTGGTCTTCAAAGAGAGAGCTCGGAGAACGAAGGAAACTCATAGGAGAACAGAGGAGCACTCGGGGTCTGACTGCTGAGGAGAGGTTAAGGATGCAAAAGTTCTAAGAAGTTATGAAAATTTCCTTTTTATACTGCCTCACAAGAAGCGGGAATCAAAAATTTGGGTCATCATTAGGGCATTTGGAAAGGGCGGCACCGGACGTGCAAGTAACCGTCGCTATTAATAAGGCGTGATGATGGAGCCCCCAATCTCTTTACGCCACTTATCTTGCACTGCGAAAAAGATGGCGGCTGGGGGATAGTTGGCGGGACTCTAGGTGGCTCTACAACCCCTAGGTTGACACGTGGAATAATTAAATCGTTGGGATATCCAAAGGGTGCCGAGGAGGTAAGCTGAAGTATGGTGACACGGAGCAGCCGAGTACGACAGCTGGCATCGTATTTAATACGATGTGACCTCCTATTTATGACAGAATGAGTGATAGTGACAAGACAAATAAATACACATCTGTCAGCACCTGCCCTCTGGGAGTCTAAGCCTACTGTCATGATGGCTAAGCATTAATGG